ACAACAAATGTCAAATGATTGTAACAAACATTACAAAAAACAAAAAATTATCATATTTTTTAAAAAAAGACGAAAAGCTAAAAACTCTAAACTTTATCAATTAGATATAAGCACACGCTTCAAACAAAATTTCAACAAAAACAAAAATGTAATGGGAGACAAAGCATTTCCATGAGACAGAGGTACATCAACGTACCATCAGGAAGCTCTACATCTAAAAGAATTCCAGTATCTACAGTCCACCATCTAGCCACGTTCTCTTTAGTGTATCCCCAGCTCCAGTTACCTGCAGGAAGAAAACAACTTTCAAGAGGTCATACCTTGGAACTACATAACTGGAATTTCTTAATTTGTTTTGAATATAAGCTTACCAGCAGGGGGAAATTCAAATTCTTCACGAAGCTAATGCAAGTTACATGCCCTACAGGAAAAATCAAATGAGAACGTAAGCAAATATTACGAAAAGCAGCTAATTTGGTGATGAAGTTGATGAAAAAAAAAAAGCATTTCACATTTATATTACAACCAACATGAGATTTGTTAAGAGCTATTGAAGGTGAAAATATGTCTACACTATAAGGAGCGTAAAACAAAATAAGTATTTTAAATAAGAAAAAAAATAACTATGATACTAAAGACGTAAATAAAATTATCAATATGTATGACAAGAACGGAAGATTAATAACAAAGTATAACCATGAGCTTTAATAGTCAAAATGATAAAAGTATTTTCTGATATAACATAATAAAGACAACTCGAATAAAAGTTTTGGAAAATGGAGAGAGAATACAAGAGTCAAATTATTCTAAACATACTATAAAGATTTTATTAAATCAAGAATTTCTTGTAACAACATTTTTTGTACATGTATTATGTGTAATAGATTTATCCGTTGGCTTTATTAAAACTTTAATACATGTACTCGTTTTCGCTCTTGATAAAGCAACATATAATTGGCCATGAGAAAATACAGGTTCGGGAAGGTACAACCCAACAAAATCTAATGTTTGACCTTGTGATTTATTTATTGTCAT